AGAGCCAATGTCATTCCCTTCAGAATAAGTATTTACAGCTTCGAATTCAATGAAAACTTAATAAATGTAATAAAAATGTATTACTCTGTCAGTACATAAGATTTCAGTAGGTATTTATGCAGATGGTCAGCACTGTTTTGCAGGAACAAAGCGGTACAACTGCTCACCAGTTTTCAGAAACTGATGCCTAAATAGGAGAGGTGAAGTGGCTGTAGATCAGAACAGTCTCGCCCCCTTGGATCTATACCTCCATCAGATACCACCGCTCTGTATACGTTAGTATGATAGCAACATATGGAAAATCTGCAGCTGCATTATTTGTGCTAGCACAGGCTGCTGCTGGTCCCGTGTTTCAAGCAGGAGCTGGGGGCTCTTCCCCCTTGCCTGTGCCCGCCGGATAAGCCCCTTGGTCCCCGTGCAGCGATCGGCGGGGCTGTCATTTTCACCTCCAGATGGACCCTTACTCTAGAAATTCCTCGTGACCTCTGAGCTGTGGGTATTGGTGTGGTGTGCTCATCCATGGATATCTGAAGATTGGGAAATCAGTCCTGAGAGATGGAAAACCAACTTAACTGTAATGGCCTTAAACAAGGAAAACATAATTTAAAATATTTCTCTGAAAGAAAATGCATTTTTATTAACCTTTGTATGAATCTAGGTGCAGAGAAATGATCATTTAGTGATCTGTTTTTCTAGGAAATGCCGATTAGAAAGGTCTGCACCAGATCTTGGCAGTTTCCACCGCCCTGTGTGGTAGAGGGCAGGCGCGTGGGAACATGGCACAGAGCATCATTCTCCAAGGTGCATTTGTGTCTAGATGATGGGAGCATCCGTGAAAGCGGCACCATGTGTGTGCAACGAGGAGAACCCTGACTACGAAGTGCAAATCCTCTTCTGCGGGGGGGCGGGAAATATGGGAAATGAATTGCCAAAACTCGCAGGGTGAAATTAATGCGAGTGACCTAAATTAAATTGGTATTTTCTTATATTTTCAGCTTAATAAAATCTTTTAGTTATAAACAAGGACTTTACATTAAAAGATGGTTAAGCAAGGCAGCACAGATGAAAATAAATTGCAGGAAGCTGTGATCGTCTAATCTGAGGCACCAAATACCTTGTTTCGCATTCCTTAGTGCTCCTAGCTGTGAGAAGTTGCAATCTCTTGTGTAAGCTTTTCTTCATTGCAGAAACTCATTTATGACTGTGATGTTAACTGGCCCGTGCTAAAAATTTATGCAGCGCTGCCCAGACAGGCAGCACAGATGAAAATAAATTGCAGGAAGCTGTGATCGTCTAATCTGAGGCACCAAATACCTTGTTTCGCATTCCTTAGTGCTCCTAGCTGTGAGAAGTTGCAATCTCTTGTGTAAGCTTTTCTTCATTGCAGAAACTCATTTATGACTGTGATGTTAACTGGCCCATGCTAAAAATTTATGCAGCGCTGCCCAGATGCAGAAGCTTTGTGCACGGCCCTGCATTTGTTGCTGGGGCTGTGTATCAGTCTGTGCTCCTTGTAGGCTACTGAAACAGGCATTTCTACCAGTCAGTCTTCAAGTAGGTACAGGTGGGCACTGTGGCCGTGGGAAGCTTTGTCCTTTCATTGGCCTTATGGAGGAGAGGGGAAAATACAAATATCTTCCTTGGCTGCTCTTGGTCCTAAGTGGTTGGAAAAGTTTCTAGAAAATACCCCAAATCCATTTGAAGTTTTTACTTTAAACAAGGGAAGTTTTAAACGAGCGTGTTTGTGTTCCTGTTCCTAGGCAGGGATCTGCGTGCCAGGCTTCCAACCATGGCAGATCTGAGTGTGGTCGGTGCTTGGCTGAGAGACCAGCGGGAGCTCCAGGAGGGTCAGCAGTAAATGGGCAGATAGTGGCGCCGCAGCCTGAACCCGGGTGGGAGACATCTGCCATCGTCCAGGTCTCATGGGGGGGGATCCCTGCTCCATTCTGCAAGCTAGAAGATTATGTACCATGCTTTTGTAAAAGTGGGAGCCTTGCTCTGTGTACACAAGTGAGAAATTAATCAAGGAAGGGATTTATAAAACAGAGTGAAGGCTGGGGAGTGCAATTCTGGTACGCTGAACTGCTGTGCATGGAACAGGAGGGGCAGGGTTACCCCACAGTCCCAGTAAGCACTCCTGATCACAAGAGCTTCTACAACAATGCTTGCAATGTTTGCTGTCTGAGCAGCTGGTTTTGAAAGTACATAAGCATGAAATGTAGATAAACTGTAGCTGTTCTCAGAGAAAGCTATAGGGTGGAACTGTATGTAAATTAGAGTACTTGACTTGGGTTTCTGTAATGGTTATAAAATCTCTGCTTTTGCTGGTAATTCTCCATGATGCACAAGATCCTCAGTAAAGAATGTCCTGTTGCTGCTTGACACTTTCCCAGCATCTGTCACTATATAAACATAGCCTATTAACAGTTTTATCTTTCTAAGTAAGAGAACTTCATATATCCTTAATTAAACCATTAGCACAAAATTAACCAGACTAAATATACCAGTAATGTGTTGCTCATCACTTTATGATCTGGTGTAAAGCTGGAATGTTTCAGATGATGCTTGTGTTGTGCTTGATTCTGCAGAGCAAACATTGTCCTTTGTGTCACACAAAAACCCAGTCCCGATCCCACTCTTGTCAAATGAGAATGGATGTTGGACTGGCCCCAAAAAAGTGGGGAGGCTTACTGGTTGTTGGAGTGAAAGTCAGCAAAGGGGCTTGGTTTGGGTCAAAAGTAATCAAATACAGCATATTCCTAACCAGCTGTAGAACTGAAGGTATATGTAGAGCTTCTGGATGCCAGGACGTTATCCTGAAGGACTGTCAAGCTTCTCAAGATGGCATCTGACAAAATACGCAGGGTGCCTGCACAGGCTTAATCCGCTTTTAGGACAGGAGCTGTTTTGTGTGTGTTGCAGGATAATGTCACCTAGTTGTTATCCCTCTAGTAGGGGAGATAAGGGAAGCTGTCTGCTGTCAAGGAAACTCCTTGTTTTCTACTCCCCTCCAAAAAATCTGCAAAGGCTTGAAACAACATCTTTTAGAGATTTAAAACCTTTATTTGCCACCATGCCAGGTGCATGTGACTGATCTGTTGAAAGGTCCAGGGCGTCGATTTTTAGCAGAGCTGATCCTGTATCATGTTAACTGTTTTCTGCTGTGGGTTTCAGAGAGATCAGATCATTGATGAAGTGGAGCATACATGTGGCTGAGTTCAGAAACCAAGAGCGAGGCTGTTAGGACAGCAGCTTGTGTCCAAGCTGAATTTTTAAAGTGCATGGGGTGTATTACGTGACCACGACTGTCACATGGTGGACAAGCCTGTTCATATCAGGAGGGGAAGTAGAAATCACACAAAGGGAGGCTGTACTCATGTCTTACCCTGTCTGATACCTGGTGCTTGTTTGTCAGCTGGCAGTGCTCAGTGCTTGGTAGGTCCTGCCCCCGCTGCAGCTCCTACCAAAACCTGTAGCCACATACAGGCAGGATTATACATAAATCTGGTTTGTGTTGACTGTCAGTCTTTCGGCACCAGGTGTGCACCGGTCTGTTGTCTGTCTGGGTGTCTTGAAGAGTGAGCTGTTGGCTGTTTTCACCCGTTGGATGCGTCCCTGTCTGGATGGGGTGGAGCTGAACGTTGCGGAAGGATCTGGGGAAGCCTAAGCTATGCAGCGGGTTGGACCAGTCCGCCCACGTGGGGTGGTCCCTGTGGGTGCCAACCTGTGTTGGTGCTGTCATGGGTGGGCTCGTCTTGGCAAGAGCAGGCGTCATACAAGTGCTTACGAACAGCAAATTGCTCGAGCCAATTCAAGCGATGGCATCTCTTCTCATGTCTATCAGCAGACACTTGTGTGGACAGTGTCTTGTAGTAGGAGTAATATGAAACATGCACAAAGTTTGTTTATATATAAATATTTCTATATGTGTACAAATATGTGTATTTCACAGCATTAAGTAGCAAAGCTGAAGAAACATTCGCCTTGCTTTGTATTTGAAGGAGTTTCTTCTCCCAGCAGCTGCCCAGTCTAGCTAGCTGGTAGGGACCCTCCAGCAGCATCATAACCTCGTCTGACAGGAGCTATTACAAAAACTTGGTATATTGGGGGTGATGGTGAACTGAACGCATCTGTTTTTAAGTTGTTTCACAGAGGTCAGAGCATTGAAGAAGTGAAGTGTACACGTGGCTGAGTTCAGAAACCAAGAGCAAGGCTGTTGGGACAGCAGCTTGTGTCCAAGCTGAGTTTTTAAAGTACGCGGGTGTGAAAAACATGTTTTTAAGTGGAACAGCTTGCATATTGAAGCCTGCTGTTTGTTGTAGCGTACTCTCTGGCTTGTGGTGTGTTATGAGTAACTGGACTACCGATCCTGGAGTTGCTTCTTGGCTTGCATCCTTCGTGTGGCAGGGGATGGACAGCAGGCATCTGGTAGCCTTTAAACTGGAAAAGGCTGAGGGAGCTGGGCTTGTTTAGCCTGGAGAAGAGAAGGCTGAGAGGGGATCTCATCAATACTTACAATTCTTTGAAGGGTGGGTGTCATGAGGATGGAGCCAGACTCTTCTCAGTGGTGCCCAGGGACAGGACAAGGGGCAATGGGCACAAACTGAAGCAGAAGAGGTTTCAGTTGAATGTGAGGAAGAACTTCTTTACCTTGAGGGTGACCGGGCCCTGGAACAGGCTGCCCAGGGGGGCTGTGGAGTCTCCTTCTCTGGAGATATTCAAAGCCCGCCTGGATGATGTCCTGTGCCCCCTGCTGTGGGTGAGCCTGCTTGAGCAGGGGGGTTGGGCTGCGTGAGCTCCCGAGATCCCTTCCAACCCCTGCCGTTCTGGGATTCTGTGAAACAGTTTTGTTGAAGCAGGCAAACACAAGGGTTAGTCAACTTAGTTTATCTAGGAAGAACAGTAGATGACAAACAATAGTGAGCGGCATTTGGTACAAAACATGAATGGCAATTTGGGGCATACATCTCTCAAATCCTACCCTGTTCTTTGTTGTTCAGCTGCTCTTCAGGCCCTAAAGCGTAAGAAGAGGTACGAGAAGCAGCTTGCACAGATAGATGGCACGTTATCAACGATTGAATTTCAGAGAGAAGCCCTTGAGAATGCCAACACTAACACTGAAGTGCTTAAGAATATGGGTTTTGCTGCTAAAGCCATGAAAGCTGCTCATGACAACATGTAAGTTACTCCCTTCTGCATCTTTCCGTAGGACCTTTAGTTTGTCATTTGTTTGATCTGCCAAATGCCAGGTGCTTCCTAACCAAAGGTAGAGCTGGAGTAGCAAAACCTTCTTCTAAAAGGCTATAACTTAAACTAAAATACTAGATATACTTTCATATTGAACAAAACATGCAATTATCGATGCTTCCTCAGTTTGTCACCATTTTATATGGCACAGAGCCACTGCCTTTGTCCGGCAGGCGGCTGGCACCAGTGTAGTCTAAAGCAAATGGGAGGGTGCACTAGTCACGGATCCACCTGGGAGCAGCAACAATTTTAAGCCTCGAGGGGAGACACAAACTTCTTTCTGTGCAGTGGAGTTTGTATTTATAGCAATAATTAAAGGTAAACTGCATCATGGGAATATCGTACTTGCTCCAAAAGCAAATATTGTAGATGTAATGTAATAATGCTGGATCAGGAAACAGATCAAATTATTATTAATGCCAGTAATGCAGAACAAAACCTCTTTGTATGAAGTCTCTGTATATAACTGCTGGGAGCTAAGTTTTTAGGGAAAAGTAAAAAATACCTGCATAATTTTGTTGAGACAGGGGGACAAAATTCAGACTTACAGGCAAAATATATTTTGGGAAAGGACGTTGTAAATGTCACCATAGTGTGGCATTTCTACAAAAACCAAGAAATACAGTCTTAGGTGTTGATGGAGAAAGTGCCTAATTATATTGAACTCTTCTCTTTCTTTTACAGGGATATTGATAAAGTAGATGAATTAATGCAGGACATTGCAGAACAGCAAGAGCTGGCAGATGAGATTTCAACAGCCATCTCAAAGCCAGTAGGATTTGGGGAAGAATTTGATGAGGTGTGCTTTGAATTTGCCTCTGTTTATATCGTAGAATTATAGAATCATTTAGGAAAAGACCCTTAAGATCATTGAGTCCAACCATTAACCTAACGCTACCAAGTCCACAACTAAACCCTGTCCCTAGGCGCCACGTCTACCCATCTTTTAAATACCTCCAGGGACGCTGGCTCTTAGGACATCTTTCTTTAAGATCTACGTATTACACATGTCTGGGTGTAGTACTAGGATATAAAATGTCTCCTAGAACTTTTTACTAGCTGTTCCTACTAGTGCATACAGCACCTATGACCCTGATGGCCTGCTCTGAGAAAGTTTGGACTTAGATTTCTTCTCTTCAATGCTTTCCTCACCCTCCTCACCCTCCTGGAGATCATGTACAGAAATTCAGATGAAGAATCAGACTCTCCGTCTCCCCGGTTTGCTCTGATCCTGTGCATTTAAGCTATTTTATTTAATAATATGACCAGCTAAATCTATTTGCTAATAAATATGACTTAAAGTTTCTCCTTTTTTTTTTTTTTTCTCCTTTAAAAAACTAGGATGAACTCATGGCGGAACTAGAGGAACTAGAACAAGAAGAACTAGACAAAAACTTGCTGGAAATAAGTGGTCCCGAGACAGTACCACTACCAAATGTGCCCTCAATATCAATACCATCAAAGCCAGGTACGTACAGACCTTTACCAGAAACATCTTGGCGTGTTAAAAAGTATGTTTATTTAACTGCCCACTCCTCAGATTTGAGAGATCTAGCTACAGGCTATCAGATGTTCTGCTTGAAATTGCTTCATAAATCACAAATTACACCTAGTGCCGTTTCTCCGTGGCGGTAACCTGCTTTTCATAAGAGCTGTGAAAATTAATAGTTATCACAGGAACAGTTATTATCTATTCTAGTCCTACGAGTTTACCTACAGCATGGACGATGCTCAGGGTAGAGTTAGATGTGGAGAAAGGAAGCCTTCTACCATTTGCTGCTGGCCTGACAGGGAAGTGATCTTGATAAACATAGCAAGGCTATAAAAGGGAGTGGAGAGTAAATTAGCTCTTGGAATTACTCCCAGGCTGGTTCAGATTCCCACATTGAACCATGCTTCCTTGCTGCTGCTGTGTTTTTTAATTTGATCCCTGCTTTTCTGGCTTTTGGGAGGAGCTAACCTGTGAGCCCCTTCTTTGGGGACAACTGTTACCTCCTCTGAGGTTTGCGCGTACTCGATCCAGACAGTACCAAGCTTAGGGTCACCCCAGTCTTAGAGCACACATATATATAGGAAATTTTAGTTAATGTGATGATTTTACATGGAGAACAGGCCAGAAATGTTTGTATTTACACAGACAGTTCAAAGCTGCTGTTAAATCTGAACTGATCACTCTTCTATGGACTAGAAGTGGTACCTCATGAAATATAGTTGAGTTGAAAGTCCTCTGGCATGCGTTAATGGGATGTGAAGCTTTACAAGCCTGTTTTGCTGAATCTGCCTTAATGTATTATGAATAAGTTGTAGACTTTGCAGCTATGTTTCATGTGCTTACTTAGGAAAAAAAAGATCCAAAGAACTAGTGGAGGAAGGTAGTCCCAATTGGTCAGTGTATCTGTAATTATCTTGCTGCCTTGCCAGGCTTAAAAGGACCTGGGAAGCAGCAGATGCTGCTGAACAGCAAGGTTCTGCATTAGGTGTGTGCTATGAAGTTTGCTCCTTGTGTGTTACAGCTCTTTTATTTTGACATCATTGATTTTGTGTTTTTCTAGTTCTGTTTTGCTAGGCAGAATTGCTGACAAGTGTTGATGAGAGGGGAGAGAGTTACATCAAAATATCTTAAATCTGAGACTTTATCTAGATTCAGTTCCAACAGCAGGAGAAATAATTTAAATAAACGTGTGCATTACCTTTTTATTTCTTAGCTGCGGAAAATAGGTCTGTCCTCTAAATGTTCTTTGGGTGTGGACATTAAAACATACTGAGTTGAACCCAAATATCCTTTTTGCATTATGTTAGGTAGTAGGGACTGCACACTAGTAAGAGGCATTGTAGTTGTGCACGTATTTAAGTAACCATACTGCAAAAGACTTATGTAGACATAGCACTTCCTAAAATAGAAAGATAATAACAATTATGAATGTTTTTGTAGTAGAAACCGTGAGTATAAAACTCAGTGTTTTATAGGATTTATGCTAAGCTGCTTTTGGATGGAAATTAGAATACCATTAATGTATTTAAATTAAATTGACCTTTTTTTTTTTTTTAATTTAAATTTCCTTTTTACTTAAATAAAACTGCCTCCAAGATTGGTATTTGGGAAACCTTGGGATTCTGGAGTGGTGGTGAGTGGGGATTTTGTATGGTGTGGTTTTTTGGTTTGGTTTTTTTTTTTTTAACCCTAAATGTTTTTTTTTTCACTTAAAATTGACTTAATATACACTGGGATTAAAAGTTTACTTCTAGTCATCATGGGTTGGACTTTCAAAGGCATTACTTTGCTGAACAACGCAGGTACATGCTTCATGTGTCTCCTGGAAAGAAGTAATGTGTCTTCTGTGGTAGAGCTGACTCTTACTGCCTCCTTTCTAGTCATTGAATGGAAAATGATTGAGAGCTTTCCTGCTTTTCCAGTTCTCAGGAATTGTCTGGATTTTCACTCAATCAGTCTGAATGAGAAATTTTTTGCTGTTGCCTGTCAGCTAAGTGGATGTCAGAAGAAATTCAGAAAAAAGCTGATTATGTTTAAAGGAGACCGGAAGAGCTTAATATACAAAAACAAATTCCATACTTGTACAAATGATAGGTCTTGGGTTTGACTTAAAGCTGACTCACTTCTCTTACTTAAATGTTTCATTTGGAATGACACAAACCATTCTGAGTAAGAGTTATTTGACTGCTTTTTTTTTTCTTCCCCCCGTTTTGAAGCAAATCCACTCTCTGAGGAAATGACATCTTTAATTGGTATTTTCCAAAATTACTGCAGCTATTTCTGGGTTAAAACATTTTTGCTGAGTTCATGGTTTTCGTCTCCAGAAGCTGGACTCGTCACCTTATGACAAAAAGCAGCATTTGCCTCCCCTGGAAGGACCAAAAATGATAACAAGGCAGCATATAGCCTACTGCTTAACAGTCGCATCCAACTGGCTACTCGTGAGTGCGGCCCGAGGCAGGGAGTAGTAGGTACCCCCTGCTGGTTAGCCCCTAGCCCCCGGGAGAGCTTGAACTGACACGGGGGCTGGAGGTCTCCAAATTCTGTACTTGCCTAGACCAAAGCACAATAGCCTCATTTGTTGCACTCTGAGGACTTTATGGGGGAATAAGGAGTTTTGTTTTTTTTTTATGGGGGAGAGACTGCAATACTGGAGACATTGGGTAAATTTCTGAAAGAAGCTGTATCGCTCTGAGAGGGGCTCAGGCTGAAGGCTCGGGGCCTCCTGCTTTGGAGGCTCAGCGGTTATGGAAAACAGTGGACACTGCTGGCCTACGCGTCTTAACCTTCATGCACGTTTGCATTCTTCCCATGTGAGCTATTGGCTTTCTCCGCTTACTTACACTGGTAATATCAGGAAGTTTAGCCCATGCTGGCTTTTTTGGGAGGCACCTTTTACTTCAATTCAAAAAGGTGTTTTTTTTTTTTTGGTTGGTTTTTTTTTTTTTTTTCTCTG